GATTGTGATTGTTACCGGGTACAAAACAAAGAAGGATAATAATTGTCAAAATGTTTATGCACGTTGCAAAGATGCTACAGATGACAACTTCCAGTAATATACTTTCCTTGATCATTAGAAGCTTATTATCAGTTTGCTAGAGAACTGAATTTGAATTCCTCTCTCTCATCCAGAACTCTTTTCTATTTTTGCAGATTTCCATTGAGGTTTCCCTTCTCCAACAAAATATCTTTTGCCCAAACCATCTCCAACTTTTACAGTATTTGACCAGGTTAGTCCTCCGCCTTCTCCTGGAATTAGTAATCTCATGTCAATGGATTTGCTCAGCTTTGTGCTCTGCTGAAACGCGCTGCAGAGCTCGCTTCCAGCATCGGTTATTAAACTAGCTGGTGGAGACAACTACAACATGGACTGGGGCATCTATTACCCATTGTATACTTGCTTTTGACGCAGGTTCGCTGTTCTACATAGTTCATTTTTTGTTCTGCAAGATGATTGAACTGGTTTTTGCTAATATGAATTCTCTTACTTTGGATCAGGTCATGTATTCAGCAAGCTAACTCCATGTACAGTGGCATTAGTGGCCAATATAATCAGGCTCTGTTCATCGTCTTTCATGATGTGCAGTTAGTTCAGTTCTGTTTTTCAGTAACAGTTTGCTTTATTGCCTCTGTCAACCATACTAACACTTTAATATCATTGTATGATTGTATGATAATTGAACCAGTTTTTGGTAATGTGTATTCTTTTACTTTGGATCCAGTCATTTCCTCCGCAAACTAGATCTTTGTTCGATGTCATTAGTAGGCAAACAAGTTATGTTCCATTTGCTCCCGGCGGTGCTGGAATTGCCCGAAGGCATGTAAATATACACGTAAATGCTGGTAATCGGCCATGTTTTGCCATTTCATATAAGACTGGTCTTTTGTAGTCAACTGACACACTATTCTCATGCACAACAATGTCATCTATTCCTTTTTGAATTGTACGATACTCACCCAGTTAAGAGGAACATATATAGCATGCCTATCAATATGTTGTCTTATGTGATTTCTCAAACCTTATTCTCTTTGATTATCTCCGATAAGTTTAGGAGTTGCATTTTGTCATGGAGTTGCACGATGCTCTACCGAGGAAAACGATCATTCCGGGGGATTCAAGCAGCACACTTGATTCAGAGGATTTTTTTCACAAGGTTTGAAACCAAAGCTTTGATTGCAAAGTACACTTTCTTCCATTCTCACTTTTTCCCTGCAGAATAGCAAAATCTAACAGAGTTCCTATCTTTGTTTTTATAGCATAATGCAGAATTCTGTGCCAGAAAAACCATGTAACAAGTCAGGCTGCTGAAACTGCAAAGTGAGACCGTCTTGGAGATGTGCTCTTAAACTTGCAATTTGCAGCAAAGCTAAACCGTCCAGTGAGGGAAAACATCTGTTTCGGCCGGTATATGGCCCTTGTGAGACTATATATGTGTAGCTTCTAAGTACAATATGTGCTTCTCCTTAAATTTACTTCCTAAGGATGCAACGCTCAAATTATTATATGGTTTTGCTGATTAGTTCTTTATATTAAATCTTACTCGGTTTGCTATCCATGAATTTGTTCTTATTTAAAGCATGTATGTTAATTGTTGTGCTATCATGCGAGGTATGCCAAGTACCCAATATGTTTCTCTCTTTGCTATGAATGCCCTCAACCATCTTGCTCATAATTTTGTAGCGTCACCGTCGCAGAAGCAACCTGGATTTAGATCTCACCTCTGCACATCATCTCTGTTTCCAACTGTTCTGCAACAGCAAAATAGGTACTTTTTATAAGTTTCGCTGCCTCTTTTGGGATTGCATGGTTTAGATCTGTAGATAATCCTATACTATTTTTGTTATTAGGTAGTCTCCATTCTTCTCCCTTTGTTTAGTTTTGTTCTTTGCTTGCTGTACTTTTCTCTCATGCCATAGTTTAGTACAAATTCCTATGCATAAAAAAAACTTTCCTTTCTCAATTATAGTTCTTGTGCTTGCTTTGTCTGTTTCAGAGTTTTGTTCTCTTTTGCCTAAGTTTATAGCATGAGTAAGTTTCTGAATCATTTGCCCCTTTCAGAAGTTTAATATTTGTGTCTTTGAGGATTGTTGGACGGGCTTAATACTAAATTCGAAACGATTGCAAAACTGAGGATTGAAGAGTCCGCGACTTTTAAACTTCTAATTCAATAATCAGTGTCGAAGAGTTTGTGTTCGTTGCGGTAGCTTCATGTTTCCTTGTGTCCTTTGCAGGCATACAAGACAGGCAGACACAACAAGAAATATTGAGCCATTATTCCGGGACTGATGGTCAGATGATGATGAATAAGAACCATAAGCTATAGTTTCATGACCTCTATTCAATAATTCTTTATTCAGATCATCACGCCAAAAGAAATATATATTTTTTTCCCTGTAATTCATTCACAGCGTGTTCTTGAACTTGGATAAGGGATTGGAAATAGGCAGTAGGACCTTCAGCTCCATAAGCTCAAAGGTCTGGCTTTGAGAGAGCAAAAGAAAACAAGAATAAGTGATTTCCTACAGCCTGCAGCACACTATTATTAGTTTTAATGAAATTGATTTGCTTCCACCAAAGGAAACTGTTTTTACTCCAGTGGTTGTTACGTACTTGGGAATTTCACATTGAACCAATTGAATTCTTATCCTTGCAAATTTCCAAACTACTTTGTTTTGGGATTCTGGTGATTGATTGGAAGGAATTCATTGCCACAAACCAGCTAGATTAAATTGGGCATAAAAGTTACATCGTACTTATAACGTTTCATGCACTGTCACTTTACTAGGGAGTTTCTTGGTACTGCTGATTTTTGGTGTGATGAGCGGCCAATTGATTCCTCAGGAAACCCAAAAATGGTCAGTTTATCATCAAACAGTTTTTTTCCCATTACGAATTCCAAAATCAGTTGAACCCTGAATTTCTTACACATTTTTGCCGCTACAAAATCCATTTAGCTGTGGGAGACACTACTGGTTCCGCATGCTTTATTATGCTTGGGAAAACCGCTGAATATTTGCTTGGAGTTGCTGCTGACGAACTATTAGCGCGTTACCCTCAACAACATGGACATTTCCATCCAGAAATTGTCGCCATGGATGGACGTTGGTTTTCATTTGACGTTCAGCTACCTAAACCTGGATATTTGCCTCAGACCCCCCCTGGAGTTTACTATCCTTTTTGTAGTCGACCACAACCAGCCTCAACAATAGCCCAAGCAAATTGCAACGCAAACACGGATCACCCACCCAGCAGCATCATCATCCACGCCAGTGGATTCTTGCCATCATAGATTAACGGTGTCCAGCAAAAAATACCCTACTTGTGAAAAAAAAAGTGTCTTAAGATGTTGCCGAACAAAAAACTTCTACTGCATTAGTCCGGGAACATATGTTAACAGGCAAGGCTGTTGCCGCCACCTATCTACCATATTGCCTCTACTCTTGTGGGTACTTGCATAACATGTGATCCTGCTTTTTAACCCTTCTGGCTCCTTAATAAGCACTCCTTTTATACTGCAATTTCAAGGGGAAAATGTCAACAACTCCACCATTTTCAACAAGCATTTACATAACTTTCAGTTGCCCCACCATCACCAACTGGCACTCTTTTACATCACATTCGATGCATAACAGCAATTAATCAATTTGACAACGATCAATATGTACTGCTGCTTTAGTATGGCAGCACCCGCTTTGCAATACATAATAATATTAATTCTGTGCCTAATGTTTATTTCCAGTGCAAAGTTTATAGATGTACAAATCATCCTATTTTTTCTTAAACCACATCTTCTCTACTCAATCTACTCTTGGGCACACAAATATGTCAATTTCCAAAGCAAACTCCACATTTTTCCAATACGATCTCCCCGCCGCGAAGCGCGGGTTTCCTTACTAGTATATGTAATAAATCACCTCATAACTCACTATGATTTACCATTGATAATACACCATACGTGGCTTTTGGAGTGGATTTCACGTTTTTACTCGAGTGATGTGGTCTCTATCTTAGTAATGAAACTTGAGAGACCAAAAGTTAGTTCATCAACAATGACAGAGATATGTTGTATATATCAATTTGATTTTGTAGAGGCGATTGAATACCAAGGATGAAAAAATCGTACCGTAACGGCGTTTTGAACAGAAAAACCTCATACTGAAAGCGAAATCGATAGGTGGTGTTTAGCGGTTGAAACTGTTAAATTATTGTTAAACCACGATTTAAGCATCAAATAACTTACCACTAACTTTTCCGGTATAAGCTATAGTTTTTTAATCCTTGGGAAATACGTGTTTACGACTTCAATAGTTAGTTTTTTATTGAATAGTTATGGTGAGTATATGTGATATGAATGTTCTACCTCATCTATTTGCATCATGGTAGTGCAATCATAAACACATGACGCAATTTTGTGCTCTGCCACATGACTGAGGCAAAATCTTGTTTAAATTGCAAAACTTTTTCCAATAAATGTAACTTCTATAAGGGGACAATTTTGGAAGAGGGCATATTTTTGAATTTTAGGGGGGTCGATGACAATTTTAGGTTTATTATCACCTTTGAGGAAAATTCTGTACTAACAAAAGTTGCAGTCCATCCATGAAAATCTTAGTTGTACATTGACTCGTTTAATATAATATTGGCTCGTATTTATTTCGAATTCCACTTATTAATGAATTTACAACCTCTATTTGAATTTGACTCATCAATAAGATACATTTACCAGTATAATAAATTTCAACTTATCAAAATTTTACCATTAAGTATTTTTATAATAAATCTGCAACTATCAACAAGTGTACCATACTTACTTTTAGGGTAAATTAATAATCAAGCAAGAATGTTTTGGAAAACGGTGTTATTTAACCTTTTGATTTTGAATGGGGAATTATTAATAAAATCGTTGTGCAAATCACCGGCAGAATATTATTAAAAAAAAAAAAATGATCATCCCCAGTTCCCCACCCATTCGGCCATTCCCCCGCAACTAATCCTTCCGATCCAGATCTGGGATTTGCGTCAAATTTTGCAGCGTCGGTGGTGACGACTAACTGTGACTTCAATTTTACTCTAAAATAAATGGAAATGGCGCTGAAATTGCTCTGAGTCCGATCTCAACAGTGTCTCTCTCGTCCCAATCCGCGTGAGAAAGCAAATATAAAAATATCCCTCTCCCCCTCCTCTCTTTCCCCATCTCGTTATCATTCATGGTCTCCCACCACCACTAATCCTCCACTGTTCATCCCACTTGCTGCTCCTAGTTTCACTCTCATTCTTAGCTGGTCGATTTCCTTTCGGCCATTATTACTATATAAAAAAGCTCGCTACTTTGCCATCTGGGTACCCCGTTCCTTTCCCCCCTGGCCTGCTTCATTTGCTATTTCAGGCGGCAACTGACAGCAGCAGCGAAAAGGGCTACTGGGTTTACTTGGGTTTCTTCCGATTTCTCCTCGCTCCTTTTAGTCAGATCCAAGTCCTCCAGATGTCGTGTTAGTTGACACAAAGGGTAAGTTTCTTCTCTTCCGATTTCTTTACTGGTGGATTTTCGCTTCCGTTTGTTCGAGTGAAGTAAATTAGTATTAGTGGAGGGGTTTCTATTTCTGGGTCTTGCTCGATTAATTCTAGATTGGACTGTTTTCTTCTTGTTTCTCTTGCTATCGTTGGTTGATGCACAGTCGTAATTGTCTCAATGGCGGAGAATTGTTTCTTTTTTATACAAACTTTGACTTGGTTTTTAAGTGCCGGCAGCATTTTTGTGCTTAATTGTTGATGTGCGTTGTTGGTCATTATGATTTGTGGATGGTATGTCAACGGATCTGCTGGATCTCCACTTTGATTCTAACGAAGTGGTGCAGGAAAAGATAGTGTAGTGAAGTGGACCTCTTTAGAGTTCTTGATGTTGTCCTTTTGTGTCTGTTTGATTGGCCGATTCATTTGTGAGATCATGAGATTCAATGAGAGGAGAAAGGGAGATGTTTACAACTACCCACTTGTCATTAGATCCAGCACTACCACCTAGAGATGCAATCTAAGATTTAGTTTGAATCTTGGGAAGGGAACGTGTAGCAACTAAATTGCACTAATAATCTGTTCAAGGAGAAGATCACATTGCTGTGACATTGAGCTTACTTCGTTTCTTGAATTTTCATTTTCAGGGTGTTTAAAGCCACTGTAAACTTCTTTACTTGAGGAGGAAATGGCAATGGGGAAGTACTCACGGGTCGATGGCAGGAAGTCATCGAACTATTGTTCAACGATCAGTATGGTTGCTTTTGTTGCATTGTGTCTAGTTGGAGTTTGGATGTTCATGTCATCATCTGTCGTCCCTGGACAGAGTTCAGTTGTGCCGGCATCCCAAGAGTCTGCCACCAGTCAGGGCAAACAAAGTACTGTTGAGAACACCAAGGGATTTGAAGATAGTTCTGGTGATATGCCAGAAGGTTCAAGTAAAGAAGGCGAGAGCACTGAAAATACTAATACTGGCAACCAATCGGATCTCCAGGATGATGACAAGGTGACCGAAACTCAGACGGAGACTGATTCTAACCCAGCGGGTGAAGAAAATCAAGTTGAGAAGTCTCAAGAGGATGGTGATGGGAAAAAAGAGGATGAAAATTCAGGAGAGGCAGGATCAAATACAGATTCTGAGGAGAAAGAAAATGCAAGTGGGGAAAAGAGTGAGTCTGATGAAGGGGAGAAGACCACCACAGATTCGAGTGAAAATAAGAATGATAGTGAGACAGAGGGTGGTTCAGGTGAAAAATCAGAGTTAGATGAGGGGGAGAAGTCCACAGAGGAAGGTGAGAATAAGGACGTTAGTGAGACAGAGGGAAATTCTAGTGAGAGTAACGAGGGAAGTCAGGGTAAAGATAAGGCAGTTGAGGTTTTCCCTGCGGGTGCGCAGTCAGAGCTTCTTAACGAGACTAGTACACAGAATGGAGCTTGGTCTACTCAAGCTGCAGAATCACAGAAGGAGAAAAGCTCGCAGAGTCCTTCAGATGTTAAACAAGATGGCCAAGCCTGGAAAGTATGCAATACCACTGCTGGGCCGGACTATATCCCTTGCCTTGACAACTGGAAAGCTATCAGAAAGCTATCTAGTACTAAGCATTATGAACATAGGGAGAGGCATTGCCCTGATGAAGCACCTACCTGCCTTGTTCCTGTGCCGGAAGGGTATAAGCAGTCAATTAAGTGGCCTAAGAGCAGGGATAAGGTAATTCTATTACTTCATAGCTATCTCTTGCAAGATCACCCAGTGTTTTATCTTTTTTTTGTCTTGTGATCATTTCCTTTTACATGATGCAGATCTGGTATTACAATGTCCCCCATACCAAGCTTGCAGAGGTTAAAGGACATCAAAATTGGGTCAAAGTTAGTGGTGAATATCTTACCTTCCCAGGTGGAGGAACTCAGTTTAAGCATGGTGCTCTTCATTACATCGATTTCATTCAAGAAGTGAGTTGTCATTGGATCCCCTGAGTTTTGGTCACTGTGTCATTTAAGTTATGGATTAATTGGTTGCCTAATTTATATTCTATTACAACTGCAGTCTCTTCCTGATATTGCTTGGGGAAAAAGGACCCGCGTGATATTGGATGTTGGATGTGGTGTGGCAAGCTTTGGTGGTTATTTATTTGAGCGAGATGTTCTTGCTATGTCTTTTGCTCCCAAAGATGAGCATGAGGCACAAGTTCAATTTGCTCTAGAGAGGGGAATTCCTGCCACATTAGCAGTTATGGGTACCAAGAGGCTACCTTTCCCGGGATATGTTTTCGATGTCGTGCACTGTGCACGTTGCAGGGTTCCTTGGCATATTGAAGGTGATAGTTAACTCCTGCTCAAAATAATTCTAACTTTCCAGCTTGTTTTTTTAATCTTCCAGAGATTGATTTTAGTTCTATTTTGCAGGCGGTAAACTTCTTTTGGAACTCAACAGGGTGCTGCGACCTGGTGGCTACTTTGTGTGGTCTGCAACTCCAGTTTACCAAAAGCTGGAAGAAGATGTTGGGATTTGGGAAGGTAACTTATTTATCTTTCAGTGAACTGGATGGAATTTCTGAATTCGTCTTAATGATGTGACATTTATTCGCTCTTGAAAATTGTTTGCAGAAATGACTAAGTTGACAAAGGCCATGTGCTGGGAACTGGTGGTTATCAAGAAGGATACACTGAACGGTGTTGGTGCTGCAATATACAGAAAGCCGATGTCTAATGAGTGCTATAACCAGCGAACCAAGAATGAGCCACCATTGTGCAAAGAATCCGATGATCCAAATGCAGCTTGGTACTTTCTTCATTTTCCTTACAGTTTCAAGAGTTGTTTGTTTCTTATTCTCAGTCATTATGCAGAGATTTTTCTATATAGCAAAATTTGGGGCTTTTCATCTATCTCTAGTGAAATATAAGTGATAGATCAATTAGCCTTTTAGGTAAAGTTTCATTTTGATGGAGTTTATCACATTGAGCCCTTGCCAGAGTCTTGCTGATGACTATAAGAGGCTACACAGAGCTTTGCATAACATGTAGTTTAGAGAGGAGTAAACTATCTTAAGCTATTGTATACTATCGACTAGTCCTTAGAAATCTGGTCTAGAGAGGAGTAAGCTGTCTTAAGTTATTGCATACTATAGACTAGCCCTTTGTAATTAACGCCTGCTTGTTCAAGTTTTATCCATTTTTGCTTAAACTCTCATACTCTAGGCACTCACTTGAAATTCAAGGGATAAACACTTCACTGTCTTGTCATTTTTTAAGTTCAAGAAGGTTGTTGTGCATATGTGTTATCCTCTTTTCATTGTTTATGAGGCTGAATAATTCGTGATTGTTTATGATTAAAAACAACAAAGAAAAACTAGGGATGATTAGCTGACCATTAGTAGTATTCTTGCTTTTTTCTGGTAAATATTCTGCCCTAATAGAGGATTATGCAACGTTAAGATGTCACTCCAAGTTTGGGAATAATTTCTGTGCTTAATATTCAATATATGAGCAATGAACTGCAAAAATGGTTTTACAGCTGTTTTCGAGTTTTTCAATGAGGACATTGGCTCTGCATGCTGCTATTTTTGGTTGCTGTTCCCTACTTTTTTTATTGCTCACATAATTCATTTTGTATCTCTTGCCTTCAGGAACGTGCCCCTCGAGGCATGCATGCACAAAGTCCCCGAAGATGAATCTCTACGAGGATCTAACTGGCCAGAGCAATGGCCAAAGAGATTGGAGAATCCACCATACTGGTTGAAATCCCAGGTCGGAGTTTATGGCAAACCAGGTCAGGAAGATTTTGCTGCTGACTATAAGCACTGGAAGAATGTCGTCTCGCAATCATACCTCAACGGAATGGGCATCAACTGGTCTTCTGTAAGAAATGTCATGGACATGAGAGCGGTTTATGGAGGGTAAGACAAACAACCTTTTGTCACCCACAACCTTATTATTCCTTCGAAGTTGCCTTTTTCGTCATGCACTCATATGCTGGTTTATTATGTCGCTAGGTTTGCGGCTGCACTGAAGGACTTGCAAGTGTGGGTTATGAATGTGGTTCCCATCGATTCTCCAGATACGCTTCCCATTATATACGAGCGTGGTTTGTTCGGAATGTACCATGATTGGTGCCAGTCGTTCAACACCTACCCCAGAACTTTTGATGTTCTGCACGCAGATCATCTCCTATCGGTTGTCAAGAAGAGGTCAGAAGACGCGCTCCCCACTCTTTCTCTATTCACATTCCGGCTGAAATCAATCTCTTTATAAACTCAATCGTTAATGTTTTCCCCCCCTTCCTCTTTCTATTGCAGGTGTAGCCTGGTGGGACTGGTGGCAGAAGTTGACAGGATCTTGAGGCCAGGAGGCAAGCTTATCGTAAGGGACAATGTCGAGACCATAACCGAGGTCGAGAGCTTGGCAAAATCGATGAACTGGGACATCCGAATGATTTACTCGAAGGAGGGTGAGGGGTTGCTGTGTGTTCAGAAGACAATGTGGCGTCCTAAGGAGGCTGAGTTGATAACCTCGGCCATCATGTAGGCATGAAGATTAGATTCAGAGCAGAGCAGATCAGATCAGAGCTATTCATCTGCACGCAGAGGAATCATCTGTGGATGCCAGAATGTAGCTTGGCATTATTTTGAGGTTGGAAGTAGGATATGGTTTTGATATCTGCAGCAAGGCGTATGGGAAGATGTTTTTTCTTATCACTGTTATTATCATCATTTGTTATTTTTTACTGTTATTACTTACTGTGACGATTTATAGCTATTACACGTTGAGGGAATTGTAAAATTTAATTTGTAATCTTCAATTCTTCTTGTTGGCTTAACCGTATGATCTCCTATGTTTTTCAGTGAGTCGATGTATGTTTACATTTATAGTGGGGATAAGCTGTTTTGCAGTCAAACGATAAATGAAATATTTGTTTTTAAAACACTTTTACTTCAGTTAAGATGTTTAATAACTTACTTAATACCTAATAGTAAGGGAAAAAAAATATCTTACGAGTTCATAGAATTATAGCTCAATATCTAACAACTTTCTTGAACTATTGAAAAGATCTATAAAAAAGAATATCGAGTTTGTAAATTGATTTTAATTTCTTCTTTTGATACTGGCTACCTAGTTCTGCCTAATTATGACCCTTGAAACTCCTCAAGTCTCAGGGAACCATTGGGTTGTTTTTTTACTTGCAAAGTACAAAATGAAAAAGGGGAAGAGAGTGGCGAGACATATATATTACCCGACATTCTCAACTTTCTGCTGTATTTTTTTTAATTCTAAAGGCAACCTAACTACTACTTGAAGTCAAAGCTTTATTTTGATTTTCGACATGATATATAGTAGAGTTTGTGCCGATGAAAGAACGCATACTCGAATTTTCGCAACTCCAAATATCAATAGTTAATTTAAGTACTGGAAATGATGAAACCGCACAAGCTTCACATCATAATTCATTGGATTTCGTTTGCAAAAAAGTAGATACAAAAAATAATATATTTCATATTCTGAAACTTCTCTCAACAACTCGAATTTTAACGAAATTCTCTACGCGATTCGCGCTATACTAAGTGCTCTTAATTAATAAGGAAGATACATTTATACAATCATTCCAACAAACGAGCTGCGCCTTCGAGTGACTGCCCCTCGTTCCGGCAAAGATGACTTTACTTTTGGCATACCCCATTAAATTTACATGTAAGGATTTGTTCATCTTAAACTAGTGTCGAAGCTGGGACTTTGTTGGGAAAGTAGGGCACAAAAAGCACGAAGATGCTTCTTTTCAGGTTCTGCTCCGCTTTTCTAAGTTAGAAAATATTCCTTTGGCCGCTATAGGCAGCTGGTGGCTGGCTTGTATGCTCGACCGGGGCTCGGAACCATAATGAAAAAGAGAGCACTATCCCTCGTGTTTGCATGATTAAAATTGGAGAATAGTTTTGATTACTGAATGGGCAGAAAGATAGCTTTTTTTTTTTGTATGTTCTAAATATGTTACATAAACACACGCTTGACTATATATATATTAGTTAATTTGTGATAGCTAGTGGTGGACATATATCGTCATGCAACAACTATATATTTATGTTTGTCCACTTCCACCAAGAATATGCAGGCAAAGCTGTAAAATCTTTGACAGAGATTCATTTTTGTTTACTACCATCCATTTATCTCAACAAATTAATATTCCTAATGAATGAATGAACCACAGCCAATTGATGCTAACTTTTTAGTTGTACAAAAAATCAGTGCTTTGTTTTTTAATAATTTCAATGAACCAGTGATATTAATTAGCAGGAAGAAAGCTACAGGCAGCCACTGAAGTTTAGCTACAGGAAGAAAGCAAAAACCAACTAATTATAATCATTAACTATGTATTTTTAATCAAATTATAATCATAGTTAATGTATTTTTTGTCAAATAAAATGTGTATTTTTAGTATAAGATTACCGTGTTTAATTAACTTTTTATCCAATATCTATTTTATTGATGGAGTTAAAAGATTATGGATCATAAGCTAAGTGTGAAACATGTACGATAGTACCAATCTTGTTGTGATTTTATATCACCATGGAATTTATAATATTAGATTTATTATTAGCACCATCGATTAGGGTTTGCCTCAATGGTTAAATCATGGTGAACAATTTGCACATTGTGGATTTGTGGGTTCGAATATATCGTGTTTGTTTTTTATTTTTTTGCTTTACATAAACTATCACTTAAAATGAGTGATTGTTATATCTATGTTTTTAGCTGATGTGATATTGTTAATTTGAGATTGTTATATCTCAGCTCTTACATGATGATATGACATACACAATTACACATATCAAACGTTGTTTTGCAATGTATCAAATTCATCAATACATATATATACTATTTTGCATGTATTCACCAGAAATAATATATCTATTTAACCATCGCAACGTGAAAACCAACCCTACTTTTTCGTGTGAGAAGGCAAATCAGTAATCATACCATTTGAGCTAACTGCAACAAAGAATGATTTCTCGTCAGAGATTAAAATCTCTCAGTCCCCTAACCACACAAATGTGGTCCTTATATCAATATTTGTTAAATTATCACTTCTTTCATCCCCCTTTATCATGCTCCTTCACACTCACAATTGCACACAACCACACACTAATCACCACCATTAATCGCAAGAATCCACCACAGAATATTATAACATACATACAACTTCCACACATCCAACGAGCTAGGGGGCAATAATAAAGGCGACAAAAAACTCCATAGGGACAACAACTTCGAAACACAGCCAACACACAAAGTGAAAAAGAAGAAGAAGAAGAAAAAAAGTAATAGTAATGTATTACACCATTGTCTGCCATTGACACACACCTTTTGTCGAACAAAAACAAGTTGGCATTGCATCCCTCTCCTCACATTACTCAACCATGTCTCCCCTTGTTAATTAAAAGCCTGCCCAAAAACCCACTGAGGAATGCTGAAAAAAGGGATCTGACTCTGACTCTATTCTCTGCACTTCCATCTCCTCATCAAAATTCTGCCAATATGTCAGTTTCTTGGAGGCAAAAGTGCTGCCTGATCTTCATCACTTTGCTTGCTGTTTTGGTGGTGGCGTCAGATGCATCCAGATTGCCCAAACCCTATTCATGGGAGCAGATGTTGCCCAAGAAGCTTCCAACGCCTTCTTCTGCTCCTTCCAAGGGCACCAACTCCATCACCACTGCTTCATCTTCATCAATGGTGAAAAAGGATAGACACGTCGTCGAATCTTCGTCGGATGGCAAAGTCTAGCTAGCTAGCTACCCTCTTGATCAAGAATGGAGAGGAGGATTTGAGAAATTTTTGCAGCCATATGTGTTGGAGTACTGGGGTAATACATCTCTCCAAAGGAGAGTTATGTGTGTAAAGAAGATAACTTGGATGGAGAAGAATATTGGAAAATGACTTTCTTGTTATGCAGATCCTTTTTTTTTTTTTGTCCATAGGTGGGTTGGGATTGTAGGATGAACTGTAATTAGAGGGTGGGATTAATTGGGTAACAGGGTGATAATTACAATTGTACATTTTGTTCATGGTGAGAATTTATATATCATGATGATGAGTTGTGATCCAGGGATGAATATAATAAATATATAATTGAAGAAGAAACAGTCGGTTTGATCATGACCTTCTTTATTATGGGATGTTGTTAATTAACGAGATTGTTTATCTTTTCGATTGTTCTTAAGTGATAATTTTTATTTATAAATAGCCGGCCGGCGATTTAATTGGGTTTCTAAGTTTGGAGCTAGCAGTTGGCTTTGTGCCGAGCATATACGCCGGCCGGCAGGCCGGCTTGCCGGTTCGAGTTGAAGTATTGTCTAGCTAGGCCCGGCCCCAATGAATCCAGCAGAATGTTTATCAATGTTTTAGAAATCGCATCCTATCGTTTGGCTGGACTATGAATACTAGGGTAGAATTTTAATTAGTAGATGATTTTAATGGGGTCAAACAGTTAAATTATGATTAAACTATAATTTTTTGTACAAAATATCATACTGCTAATTTTATAACCACCAGTTTCACAATCATTAGTTTTCCCCCCCACAAGAATAGAAATAGAAGAAACTGAGTCGGTTGGACTTGTGGTGAATCGACTCGGTATGAGAGAATATTTATTGACCGATAACCGATTATAGTTGAAAAATTATTTTTTTCCCCGCATACTACCCTAATTCTTCGCGTTCGTTAGTTGAAAAGCAACACTAATAAATAGGTAAGAAAATAATATAAGATACGTACTCTTAATATCTCCTAATCTCTTCTAATTCAAATTAATTTTGTTAACTAGTTCTTAGACACCATAATCTTTAATCATCTATATACCTTTTATATTCTCCTACGTCGCTATAAATATTAGCTAATAATTCAAGTTACATTAAAACTATGCAAATCTTCAAACGAATGAACTTATAGGGAGTAGCCTATTTGTTTAACAGAAAACATGGGAAAATAAGTTACAATGTCAACACTTAAATCAACAAATGCCATAAGAACCATGCATTGATCGATACACTAGGGTTTGTCTCTTCGACCAAAGAAACGTTTTATCGTCAGAACCTTATTAACAATCAGAACATATGCAGTTATCTTGCCCAGCTATCTGGCCTTGAGTTCACCAAAAGCATGGCGGCCGACAGTATTTAGCGGTGGAGACTGATCTCCTCCCGGGCCGCCGGCGACCAAGCTATGCTCCGTCGTCGTCGTAGTCAGATCCTGAAGCTCCTGAAGCACTTGCTTCATCGTGGGCCTCTGGTCTCCTTCCAGCTTCAGGCAGCTCCTGGCCACCTCAGCCACTTTGGAAAGCTGCTTCACGTCGCCTTCTTCCTTCACTCGTTCTTCAAGTATCTCAAGCAAGTATTCTTCCTTCAGGGAGCACAGGAAGTGGAGCGCCAGGCTCTTCTCCTTGCACTCCGACGATATCGCCATTTTTCCGGTCAGAAGTTCGGCCAGCAGCACCCCGAAGCTGTACACGTCGCTCTTGTCCGTCAGGATCCCTGCACCCACAACGTGCATGCATGTAGCAGATTAGCTACTACGTACTCTAGGGCAAATTAAGGATGAGATTGAATATTTATAGAATTGAATGTCTAAAAAATGGAAAAAGGTTGGTTTGGTGACACCTAAAGAGCCAAAAACATCTAATTCGCGCATTTTTTTTAAACGTTTTGTTCATGTAAATTTATGCTTATGCACGGTGTATTAGTATTAATTCACGTAATAATGGTAGTTATTCGTGCAGACAGTAATGGTTATTCATGCAATCTAGTGTTTATTCATTATAATGTTATTTTTCCTCTGTAATATCAATTTTTTAAATATTCAAGCGTACCAAAATGGATAATTTTGTGTAGATTGTGACCAATGCACCTCATTTTTACACAAAATACTGAAAATCCAAATTTATTTCCATATAATATGGCAAATAGAAATTGTTAGGTAAGATTTTAATACGTGAACGATGCATTCAAAATCACGATTCTAATCAGAAGCATTTCGGTGATCCAGAAGCGTAAAAACGTAAGATTTTAAGCTTTTTAAA